TTTTTTTTTTTTTTGCGCAAGATTAGGCTGTTCCTTTTTCATTTTCACAAATTAAAAAATAAAAAACTTTTTTTAACATATAATCGTGTACCACATTGCAAACTTTATTTTATTAAAAAATTAAATAACGCCTAATTTAATAATATAAACTTACGTTAGTATTTACAAAAAATCAGAAACTCTTTTAACATCAACTCGGCTACTACAATTGTTTTAATCGGATGCTTTTATTTAAAAAAAATAAAAATAATTTACAAGTCATTTATAAATTACAATAATTAAGTTTTAGTTCAATTAATAAATTACAGTTCATTTAAACCCCTAAAAGATAAATTGGTGGATTTGGTTCCATTAAGTTTTAAAAATTTTGGTCATTGAATATAATTTGAAATTAAAAATTCTTTCTCATATTTGATATAAAAAATTCAATTGTGTTTTTTATTCCAAACGATCAGATTGGCGAAAAAATTACCTTAAAACTTGAATTGAAAATTGAAATTCAAAATCCCTTCTCATTTTAGTTGCCATAAAATTGGGCTTAACTTAAAATATCTTCCTAATATAAAGGATTTTGTTCAAATTGAATTAAAAAATATCTAATCACATGCTTCTATCCTTGGACGACTAACTTTACATGAAGAATTTTGTGCCACTTTAAAATTAACAAACCTCTTAAAAATTACAAAATTATAATGAATTTTATTTTTTTAGGTTTCAATTTGCACGAAATTCAAAATGGTTTAAGAATTTTAATCAACTGAAATTCATCTCTTTAATTTTTTAATAAGTTTCAAATTTTACAATAATTAAGTCAAATTACAAATGTATTGTTACAAAAATCAAGAGGATAATTTTGAAAATAGACAGTTTTTTTTTTTTCAAAATTGTCTTAGTCCCCAATTTAATATAAAATGAATCCCCCCTATATATTAATTCAGAACGCGCTGAGCCTACGTGGCTTCTTCTGGTGCTTCGTAATCCTATGTGGCAAAATTACATGCTACATAATCCTATCGTAATCCTGGTGATTACCATAAATATGTTGATTATTTATGGTCATGTTACATGTATTAATTACATTTCAATATCATTCCTAATTATAACTATTGAATTGTATATACATATTTTAAAAGTTAATAACTTTTGTATTTTTTTATCAGTTTTACATATGTAATATATCAAATTAATCGTCTTTTGATGAGTTT